TATATCATGTTAACTACTCGGTTCTGTAAAAACAAAGTTCTTTATTCGCGCACACACTAATCCAAGTAATAAAATGTAGAGCCAAAATTCATGAGTTTTATACCTGCTAGCATTTTGCATATAATTACGGTCACACTACAATGTACACTAATTAGCAACGATTCTGTTGTGATAAAACGTAAATGGCGGCGTGAATTGCTGATTATGCAACAAAAGGGTCTTGGTTTTTATCAACTGAGTTAATAACACGAATTAGTCACTGCTAAAAAATATGACAGCTGACGTTTCGAGCGTAGTCCTTCGTCAGAGGGCCAACGTTCCAAACGTCTGTTTTTTTTTTTTTTTCCCAGATAACTTCCCCAGACCTTTAGCAAACAGATGAACGAATGTATCTGATTAATATCATAATCTTCCTATACGCCAGGGTAACTCTTCTTGCCTCATGTGTTATGGACCTTCGGAATTTCCCAATGGATTCTCAGAGATGCATTTTGAAGTTTGGAAGTTGTAAGTTATATCAAATAACAAACATGTTGCATTACAACTCATTTTTTCATGAGTGTTATATCATCAAATCTCAACCTAGAAACAATTGTTTTGCTAAAAAATAAGATGAATAATCAAATAAACAAACTGGGCAGAATTTTTCTTCAACTCTTCTGCTGTCTTAGTCATCATTCGTCATAACAGCACTTTTGTTTTGGCATGTTTTTCCCCTTCTCTGAATCGTAAAGATGGGTACAGCACGAAGGATATCGTCTTTAAGTGGATTGCTGGAAAAACTGAAGTTGATGTTGGAAACAAAGAAATGGCGCAGTTTGAATACAAAGGCTCTAGATTGACTTCGGGAATAGATGAGTTTGACACAGGTCAGTTAAAATTAATTTCAGTGTGGCATTTTTGATAACGCGGTGTTCAAACGTTGAACTTGGCTGGCTGCACGTCAACTTCCCACCCGACATTTCCAAGGAAAGCTTAGGAAACAACTTTTGTCCTGCAAAATATGGGGAAAAATGATAAAGTTCAAAGAAATCTGAAAAAGCAAACGAAAGTAAGGAAAGGAAAAACTTCAGAGTTTTCGAACGCTAAGCTTATTTGATGACGATTATTCTGTAAATCTTCCATTTTAGTTTTTCGGCTTTACCAAAAAAAGTTATTCGCGTTTTAAACACATTTGCTTACTGGCTTGAATGACTGCTTATAATTCTTGAAAGACAATTCTGTTCTGACCGTCTGAAAGCATGCTACCTAGCCAGTCGCCTAGCTACT